CTTAAACATTAAGTTAACCCTATTCCAAATACGTTTTTAAACTATTCAAATGATGAAAGTTATTGTTGTTTTCAAGCGTTTATTAGCGAGTGGGAACGACCAACATGGCCGCCATCTATTCAAATGGGGGTAACCGCTGGCATATTCTTGGCTTCAATTTTACTAAAAGACATGCGCTATCTAGTGTATATAAGATATCTATGATAGTATAGTATAGTATAGTATAGTATAGTATAGTATAGTATAGTATAGTATAGTATAGTATAGTATAGTATGGTATAGTATAGTATAGTATAGTATAGTATAGTATAGTATAGTATAGTATATTACTATATTAAGAGTGTAAAAAATCTAGTCGAGAGCATCAAAACGAGACTATCTCTAAATGATTCTTCAAAGATTTCTTACTCACTAATCAAAATATTGTTCATATGAAAATACGGGTTCATATAAAAAATGGCACAACCGTCTAATTAGCCTGTAGTAGTCTGAATAGGTGCCTCTGAATATTCCGCTTGAAATTGCATGTGCTTGCTAATCCTGTTTGTAAAAGCTTATATTCGTTGAAAGATTAGAGTCTATTGATTCAGAAAATATGAGCAGTTTTGAAATCATGCGAATACGTTTCCATCTCTCTCCAATTTAATACGGGGTGATTTATGGGGTAAAGGTTAGCACAATGAAAATTTATTATATTTTTAATATTTTAAAATCTAGCCGAGAGCCTCAAAACCAAATATGGTTTAAACTACTCCTTAAAACATATACTTATTTTGGGAGATAATTCATTCATCTAAATATACGGAATTATTGGACATTTCCATCGGAATCCGAGGCAGTTCCGATATATAAAGTTACGCAAAATTTGCAATTTTATAAATATTTTTAGCCTGTGAACGTTCTTATACCTTCCTCGCATTCCCAAGAATGCAAAGGGTTAACAATTTTTTGGTTAGCATAAAAAACGAGACAAAACGCAAATAAAAGGCTCAAAAATCAAATTACTGTATTTACTCGTCGCAAGTCTCTTTCTCTTAAACCGAGCAAAATGTTGCGCATGCGCAGACAAATTTCGCACCTGTTCTCGGTCTCAGTTAATAAGTGATAATTATAAAGTATAAACATTTACAATTAGTCAAAAAAATAGTAACTGACATTTTTGATTTCCCAACATCGCGGGTCGATTCGATAATAAGTGCATGCTTGCAATATACATTTACTAACAATCGTACCAACTTATGATGATGTTTCCTTACTGTGGCACGTGAGCGCGAATACAAGCATAACAGCAATAAACATCGCTTGCGTACTATTGTTGCATGAGTTACGATTGAAATCTGTATTTCTAGTCTACAGGATGGCTAATAAACTGGACGACCTCCTTACCTTGTGCTTTTTCCGGTATTAGTTTATCCATTTAAAACTCCTCCTGTGATCACAGAAACTTTGATAGTGGTTTTTTTTTACATCTTTATTTAAAACACGAGGTCCATTTCACAGGTTATGTTATGTGCTCTTCAATGGAGACGTGTACCTATACTAGTAGACTAATTACTAATAAAAAGGTATCAAACTATTTACAAAAGTAACAAACTACACATGCGCAAAGAAACTAATATAAAAGAAATATTAAGATATTTTAGATTTAAACTCAGCGAGAGATTGAACTCTAGTGAGTTTGACGGGTATGTCATTCCATAGGGTAGCTCCTCTATAGGAAAAACTTTTCTTCAAGGATTCCATTAAGGGCCTTGGCACAAAAAGTTTATGATTAGATGCACGCAAACTATGTTCGTGTATCATTGACGTGGAAGTAAATTTTCCAGACAAGTAACTAGGAACCATACTATTAACAGTTTTGTACATAAAAGTTTTGAACATGTTGGGTACGTCTGGTTTCAAGGTTGGTCCAATTCAATGATGTTAAAATATCTGATGACCGGATGTTGTAATCAGATTCAGTAATAATTCTTGCAGCCCTATTCTGTAATCGCTGTAACTTTTGTCCAAGACCCTTACCTAGGCTATCCCAGACAATACTACAATAATCAAATTATGGCTGTGCTAAAGAGTTATAGATCATGACAAGAGTTGACTGTGGGAGCAATGGTTTAGTCTTCGTAGAACTCCAATCACCTTGGTGACTTTGGAGATTATAGTAGAAACATGATGCTCCCATGTCAAACTCTCGTCCAGTTTTAAACCTAAACACTTATAAGATCTAACTCTTTCAATTTTGTTTCCGGAGATAACAATATTAGGTTCTTCAGGAATAGTACTTAATTTTTGCCTGGATGCCATAAACATACATTTAGTTTTAATCGCATTCAGGCCAGGCGGTGTGCGCAATACGACCGCAAAGCAGTATGGGAGCACAATTTACAAATTTTGCGAAGGAATGTTAATTCACCTTCAGTTATGGGTAAGTTTAGCATTTATTTTATTCTTATTCCTCTCATTTTGATTATATCGAAAAGGAGTGTTTGGTGTTAATGTGTGCCTAAAATCATTCACGAAAACTTGATTGTGTCGAAAGATATAGCCGATTGAACTGAACCCATATTTGGCATGTTTCGACGTGGTGTTTGAGTAGCGTTTTTATATTGCCAGAATATCCTTACACGATTAGAAATCAATAGCATTTCCTTTGTATACTTGTTTTTTAAAGCATAAACTATACAAAAATCACATCGCACCCCATCGCACCTCGTACGGTTTGTCTGCAATTTTTGAATGTTAAAATGGTTTAACAGGTAAATGATACATTGACACCGTAAACAAAATGGCTACCAAGAGACGCTTCGAGCTCAACTGGTGACAGGCCAGGGAAGTCCATGCCCAAGTTGGCTTTACGTGAAGGTAGTTCGAGGAAGAGCCTTTTCCAAACAATTTCTCAAAGTTCTGTATCCAGCACGAATGAAAAACCAGTGTTATGGACTAAACAAGAAACTTGTATTCTATGCTAATTTTATAAATAAATACAGTATATATGTCTGTATTGGAAAGATCCCTGAAACGACAAATGGCCAACAACCAAATATATTAAAGAGGATGTGCCCAAGCAGTAAAAAATGCATGTAAATCCCAACGATCAGGTATGGTATTCAAATCATTGATTTAAATTAAATCAACTAACCGAGCATTGAGTGCCAGTGCCCCTCCTTGACAAGAAAAATCGGAGTAAAATAATAAAGAAGGCACATTAGGATGCAATGTAACTTAACGGATTAAACTGATAATATAATTTCAGGCTGAGCACATTTGCAGGCTGAAACATTTGTAAACAACAAATGCAAATTGAGTTGACTGCATCTCCCATACAATGTTGTGATTAAATTCGACTGATAAATGCCATTTATATATTCTTATATTTCGTTGGTTAGATTGCAGAATACCCGTCCACTTTGACATATTACACCTATTAATTCCTTGTAAACATGGCGAAATCAGAAAAGAATGTCAATTTTAAATGCTTCGTTCTTTAAAGACTCCGGCATTGAATTTAACTACAAGCAACATATTCTTGTAGTTTTATCTTTAAATTTTAATTGTGAACTGTTTTGAAATAATCTTTTAATTCATTTATTCGGTTTAACAACCTATCAAAAGTGGACGGGTATTCTGCAATCGCTCCATTTCGTTAATTAAAGCAAAATATTTTAATTGTTCTAGGAGTTTCATGTAGAACCAGAGTCCTAAAAACCTTGGCGCAAAATGTGGTACATTGAGTGATGCAGAAAAAGATTTTGAAATTGACTATGTACATGATTCTGTTGGCTCAGCTATTCCTGTGCCATCAAGTCCAGCTGCTGTGTTCAATTTTAGTCACTGTGATAATCTCTCACCAATTTTCAAAGAGTCACCATGTAAGGGCTCAGCAGGAAATAACCCAGGTACTCTTGGTGATATTGTCCAAAATCTCATCACAGCCTTCAAAAGTGTAGCATGTCCCAAAGATTAAAGGAACAATTATTGAACTATTTATACAAGCTTTTTGTTATTGAGCTTGGAGGCATACATGGCTTTATACCAATTTGTGCAGGCAGATTTTCTGGACAAAAGTTTAAATGCCATGAAAACATTGCTGCAAGAGGGGAAGAAGAACTTGCTTTATGGTATGTCATGGTGCTTTGAGAGATGAGATGATCGCACAACTGAGTGGCTTTGCCACCAGTGCCAGAACATATGTGAGCATGTTGGTCAAATTTAGGAAATTTCTCCCACTCATGCGGGCTCGTATTGTCAGCGGACACTCTCCTCTGCAGAGGCTTTGTAGTTTGTTTTCTTTCTATATAAGTTTGACTTGCGGGCAGTAGTGGCTCCAAATGTTCACGATGCCCCCTTTTAACCGTGCGCGCTTGCTCCCCCGCGTGCCCACTTCTCTACCTAGCCCGCTACTGCCCGCAAGTCAAACTTATAGAAAGAAAGAAAGAAAACAAACTCATTCTCATAGAAAGATAACAAACTACAAAACCTCAGCGGAGGAGAGTTGTCAGTGGACATCTTACAGAAAGTGGGCAGTTCTGTGCACAGTACATAACCTTATGCACATATTTGTAAATAACAAATAACAATGAATATAGTCATTCATATTTATAAGCACTTTAAAAACAGACAAGTTAATTTACTTTACAAATGTTGATTTTTTAATAAGATGGGTTGCATCAAACCAGTTCTTTTATGCATTTACATAGCAGACTTGCTAGCTTTGACCACATTAGGATGCCATGGACCTTTTTTGGATATGTTAATTGTGGGATAAAATCCAATTCGCATAAAAGTTGTATGTAGTTTGATGTATTTTATAGACACATCAAAGCTAAGGCCGTTCATATGGGGGCTAACATACTGTGTTAGTTAACTTGCAATATAACCAAACTTGTGGAATGCATCAACAGTTTTCACATAAGTTGCAATTGCATTTGGATCATGTAAATTGTCTGGTTCTTTTTCCAACTGCACATAGACTGGCCTATTATACTCATTTAGGTACTCGAACGCCTCTAATATTTTCTGTCCTTCACCTGAATGACATGATCCAAGAACTTTAAGTGGAACAGTGTGCACTTCACTTTCAATTTGCTCTTCTTCAATGCTTTGTCTCGCCATACCTGCTGCACTCTCATCTCCAACCTCGCTTACTTTTGTTATTTTCCATAAACAATGTACTCAATTCCATTAATTGTAATTTTGCAGTGTGACGTACATTTAAATTTTCCTGGGCAGATGTCAGTAGATCTTCTAATTAGAGCATCTGCATTGCCAGAGTTTAGCACTACATTTATTCATTTAAATTCTATGGGCAATGGACATAACAGGGAAGGTTGATATAGTCCATGAGAACCATGAGTCTGCAATGCTTGTAATGGTCCCAACTATTTCACCTGCAATTACACAAAATAAGTTCATACAAGCTTAAGTTATGATGGCCTAAGACCGTAAGTATAATTAGCTGCAGTCACCACCTTCTGTGTTGTGATAACAAATTTCTATTTTGGACCAAAATGGTCTTTGTGGTTTGTTTGAAGATAATTATCATCATGACTAATTTTTTTTACAAATACAGCTTTCAAAGATCTTGTGATGTTTTAAGATAGCTACGATAACAATTACTTCAAAGAACAAGTCACAAATTATGATCACCTTTGTCTAAGCAAATCAATCAAAGAACATGATCATTTTAGGCTAGTATTTACCTACTGGTAAATACTGGATGGTAAATACAGATAAATACTGCTGGTAAATACTAGCTTGTAAATTCACTACTGTACCTGTAGTCTGACTTTCTGTTGGCATGTTTGGAAGAGGAACCTAAAATGAAGTTATTTTTGTGTCACTTCATTGTACAAGGACAATATGTACAAGCTATAATGCAACTAGATTATTTTACTTTGGTATGCATTAATCAAAATGCAACCAATTACTACCTGGAAGTGACAAAAGTTATTTTGGTTTATTCCACTTGTTGGGTTGATGTTTCCTGCAGCATGCAAGCTCATTGGCAAAATGCTTGTCCAGAATGCTGATTATCGTGTTAAGAATTTTATTCTGACCATCACAACAAGTGCTAATAACCCAGGACTGCAAAGATTTTGGTAGGCTAGGAAGTGGCAAACTACAATGGCAGTTTACTAGGAGGTAGCAGCTAGCTTCTCTGGTAAAATAGAAATTGTTCATCAAACCAATTGTTCATCAACCAGCCCCTCCTCATGCAGCTGTGTTAACAACAGTAAATGGTAACTAGTGAAATTTCCATCCTTACCTTCTGCAAATAAGTCAAGTTCACAAACACAAAGGCTGAATATTTTTGTATCATGTTTGTTTTTAGCTAATAGTATCGATACTATTTGAACATTTACTGAAAGTGAACCAAGTTGAGTGCTTATAATACAGTACATAAAATAAAGCGATCAAAAGCATTTAATTATTATATATTGTTGTATATGCTTTAAGTAAATACTACAAATGGAATCACTCCAGCTTTTTGTATTGAAGATAAGTATTTAGTGAAAATATGTAGTAATTACCTATAAAATAGTCCAATATAGTACCTATTATATTTATAACTCACCTTTCAAGATTGCCATGTTGTTATAAAATTGCTAACGCTTTATGGATCCAATACGAAGCGTCGACTGCCACAATTCGTCCATAAAATTCGCTGATATGCACCTTATTACCATATTTCTTTATGTGTGGGAATAAAGGCAATTGATTCCCATCGAAGAATATTAAATTAGAGTATTTATTTTCGCTGACACTGATTGTCTCTGATGTTCACTCGGTCAAAGCAAAATGCAAATGAGGCCCAATTGCAATTCAGGCGCGAAAACCCCATCACGCTTTGCAGTCGTATTGCGCACACCGCCTGCATCCCGGTAGACAACAAAGGTAACTTTTGTCTGATTGGTCAGTTTTTAAGGTTACGTAATTGTCCGGTTGCTATGGAAATGGCAAGATGGCCGCGGTCGAAGGAGAATGAATTGTGTGTGAGCTTTCGAATTTACTGCATATATTTATGGAAATACTATTTTAGAGATGTCCAGGAGAAGGAATAAGAAAATCTACCAATAGTGGGATTATCTTGCGTTGATTTTACTCCATTATGTTAAGAATTGTGGCGATCACACCTAATTGTATTTTTCTTCGCCCTGGGTCATGTTGTATCAGTGATGGACTAATGGTTACATTGAGCTTCTGTTCTTTAAAAATGCAGCCAATGGCTACAAATCCTACGAAGTATTATCTCTGAAAACCGACCCGCGCGACTCAAAACAGCCTCGTGCTTGAGGTGCAAGGTCGATCAAATAACGAAAGGCATTTTTTGAATCAATACAGCATGATTTCAATATGTATTAAGGGAAATCCCGTAACTCGAGCTCTTTACATTTGTGTAGCCGTTTTAATGCGATTGACTCAATTACGAAATAACCTTTATTTCCAAAATGTATTATGTGAACAAAAGCCGCTTACTTTTATTGCAAATATTCATATGTCATGATAGTATATAATTAAAATACGTTACCTTAGTAGGTTGAATATCTGAAATACTGACTTGATCAACAGCATACAAATCTTTAAAAATGGCCATAGTTGAACCATATACATGCTTCTTGCTTGCTCTTGTTCAGAAAACCGCACCGATTAAGTAAGACTCTCAATTTCCTGTATTACTAGCTCTTATAGCTCACTCTGGATTTGTTGAACTGCTCGCATTCTCCAAATATTATATGCTGAGTTAGCTGTCTTAATCATCTGCTTTCGGTGAGAAAAACAACAAAACGGTGAGAAAAACAACAAAACGATAAGTCTTTCATCAATAATTCTCACTGGCTTGGATATGTGTTTCAACGGCTCGAAACAAATCGCGATCAAAACGTTGAAAAACTCGATACAAAGTCTCAAAACTTTTGTCCATAGCATATCAACAATCCTTGCCTCCGTTTACATTGAATTCAGAACAAACACAAGAACATTTTGTTTGTAAATGCTATTTGTGTTGTGTGTATTAAATTTCGCATGCTCTTTCGAGCCTTTGGACCGGAAGTAAATCTTATCAATAGAAAACTGTTGAAAAAACTGACCAATCAGACAAATGTTACCTTTGTTTGAGTTAATGGTTTGGATATATACTTGTAAATATTTTTTAATATTTTGGCACTGTAGCCATCGAATCCTCGACTTTTGTTTGGATTTAGATTTTTTATCTCGTTTTCAACTGCATGCTCTTCTATAGGTCTTAAAAATATGGAATTTAGGTTTTTGTTTGTAAGATATTGTTCATATGTGAAGTTTGATCTGGTTTTTATTTGTTTTGCAAGCTTGGGTCCTAGATTCACAAAATAATCATTGAATTTATTAGCAATTTAAATAGGGTTAGAAGTGGTACTTGAAGAATTGCTCAATAAAAATTCCTTTGGTAATTCCTTCTTTCGAGTAGGTTTATTAAGTAATTCATTAATTGTTTTCCAGATCATTTTTGTATTTTGTTTGTGTTTAATAAATTGTTCCTCG